TAAGGGTATCTTTGGGCAAAATATGAGCGATTTGTCAAATGGGACGTTGACCGGCATTTCTCGATCCTAACAGTCAGCCACTCTGAAATACTTGTGAAATGTTCGTGGCTAGTCTGACGCTGCGTTTCGTGTCGGCCAAGAGACTCTTCAGAGACCTTTAGAATTCATAGGCAAACTCTTTGAGCATCACGCCCAAAGTCCCGTTTGCAAATTCTTGATGTTGAAAGTCTGGCCCTCTATCGCAGAAGGATTCCCAACCGTACGTTCACGAATTAAATTTATACAAAAGCAAACAATTGTCAAATACATGTGAAATGTTCCCGGCTAGTCTGACTAGCCACGAACATTTCAAAAGTAGTTGACAATTGTTTGCTTTCCTTATTTCTATTATAATTATAGTTAAGCTATGGGAAAAATTATTGCATTTAAGTTAAAGTCTTTGACTATGATCGAGCAAAATGGAAGAGATGAATAGGAAAAGGTTTTGACTGCATACCGAAGCGTAAGAGGTGGAAATAAGACTGGGGATGAAATACAGAACAGCAACAAAGTCACCCACCGAAACAGAGCATGCTCCCACGGTCTTTGATTGGCTCCGAACAAAATTAAAACACAATTTACAAGCAAACTTTCTGCTCTCGTGTTTTATTCTTCTTTTGGAGCTCAAATCTGTTTGAATTATTTATTTCATATTATATATTCACCCTATCTCTAGGCAGGAACATTTATCCACCGCAGCTGAGTTCGTGAACGGTGTGTCTTTCTTTGTACGGCGGGCGAGTACGAATGCAACGATAAACCCAAGTAAGTCCGGTTTTGATCAGAACAATTTTATTTAACTGTTTTAATTTCTTTTCGTTATATTCGTAAAAACAAAACGAGAACTTACCTGAATTGTTTTGGAATGAAATTCTATGTCGAATATGTGTCAGTTGAGGGAGCTGTTTAGGTGCCATTTTCTGCCAGTAAGGAAAATGCCAGCTGGTTCTTTTGCTAATTTTTTTGCTAAAAGGGAGTATACCAAAGATTTTGCGATAATCTCCTCTACATGAAGCCTACACAAGGTCGAAAGGGCTTTGGAAAGAGCTTGGAGTGTTTTATTAGTCTTCGATCAACAATATCACCTGGGATTACACACGCGATAAACAAGCTTTTTTAGAAAAACACTCTAGTGTCAACATTTATCAGAACTAACGCTGTTTTCTTTGGCCGTTGAACTGATCGTTGTGTCTTATGTGTAGACTTAAAGCTTCTTAATATTTAACAATTATTCCGGCCGAAGTGGTGGTGAATAGTGGTGGGTATTTACCGAGCCGTGAAGCGGCGAGGTAAATATCCATGACTTTCACCGACACTGAGGTGAACAATTGTTTTAGTATATACCACACAAGCTGAATAATTAGCGGACCAAAACGTTATTTTATGTGCGACAAGCGGTCGGAAATTTTAAAATCTCTCGCGCCGGCTGCTCGGAGGTGAATAGTACTTGCTAATCACCTCCGAGTTAACCAATCAAAGCGCGCGAAAAGCGCTATTCACTTGTGTGGTATATACTAAATGGAGTTAGCCCGGCAGTGTAACTCAGGTTAACTAAAAACCTATCAAGAGCTCTGTAAAGCCTTAGTATTCTGTAGTGAAGCCTTTTGGGTCTATTTTTGTTATTTTTGGTCATATACATGACGGAACAAACTGAGCTTCAAATCTAAAATTCCTAAATTGGTTAATTTTAGATATCGAATGGTCAGTTCCCACCTAATGACTAAACTCTTTCAACAATTTTTATATTCAACGATTTTTATTCTTGATAATGATGTTGGATCACTGCATCGAAACGTCGAATAATGTTACTTCCTATGTTTCTCGTTACTTTTTCGCCGGTGAATATCAAAATTAAATTTATGATGTTAACTTCCTACTGAAAACACCACAGGATATCTACCAAATCATTTATGACGAATCTTATTAGCATGCGAATGTTTCCTCTTTGTGCCAAATTTCATTATTTGGAGCGTTGTGGTTGTTTTGTATCACGAGGGGACTACGACGATATCTTCAACCGCATTTTCATAAACTCGTTTAAGTACCCATGATTCGTACAGGGGATTTTTTGCGCAGTGTTCGTCGCAATTTCCACTGCCATTTTGTCTCGAGTTTCAACTCAAATTCGTGCTTGTAAACCAGCTGCGATTTTTGACAAGGATTTGAATGCGATTCAGTCGAAATTTCAACGTGATATCGCCTAAGTTTCCAACTAATTACGAGACTGCATAAGGGGTGCATACATGCTCTGATACAAAATCTCTGTTCGTTTTATCACGTTTCATGGAAAACTTAACGAGGTCGCATTCAAATTACGCTCAGCGGGTTGTACGAGCGCGACAAGTATTCACCATTACTAATTATATGCATTCAAAAATTTTAGCATGCTGATTGGCTGAGAGCGGGACAATTGAAACCAAACAGTGCAGAAAATTAAGTTCAAAAAAGCTGAAATTGAGTGCGGAAAGGTTATATTCAATTGCATTTATATTATTAACGAATAATCACATGATTTTCTCAGGCAATTTGAAATAAGAGGACTCGTACATTTTTCAGACTTTTGATTTTTTTTAATTAATTAAAATGTTCTCTGGTTGAAAATTTAGCTTCCAATAAGATTTCGGTTGCCAAACTACAGCCCCTGATGAATGATAAAAAGACGCGAATGAATGAATGTATACAGCGAAAAGTGTGAAAAATACAAAATAAAACGGAAATTTGGACAATGAAAACATGCTAATTTAAAAGAATGTTATACTGTCTTGGCAGCGGTCTAGAATTATAGTCCGCTTCATTCATGGTAGTGCGTCGTGACTCGAGAGTTTTTCGCACACGGTAATCGACTTTGTCAATTACTTTGGTGTTGTCAAAGTCGATTTGATGGTCGTTCAACCATACATGGTTTGAATCGTTAGAGCCTTCAGTCGCAATGCTTGACATTTTCTGACATGTTCTTTTTTTCGCGTTTAGAGGCATCTGCTTGTTTCTCCAATGCAACTTCAAATGCAGTCACTTCAATGCAAACTGAAAAGTGTGAATCTGAACGACCAGGGCAAAAATATTTTTTGCCCTGATTGGCCTGAAAGCCTGCATTTTTATCCAAAAGGGCCACCAAAATAATAACGATAACGATTCTGTTAATCAACAGGATATTCCATGCCTGCTAACATGACGAGTAATGCCACAGAAGCGCCTCCTGAGGGATTCCAGGTGCCGCGCAACATTCAGATCGGAGTCACAATCCTTGCCGTCATTCTTTTCATCCTGGCAATGATCGGTAATACTCTGGTGATTTACATCGTCTTCACAGTAAACCACATGCGCAGCTCAACAAACACTCTCATCGCCAACATGGCCTTTGCCGATCTTCTCATGACCATAGATATTCCGTACATACTCAAATGGTTCTACGTGATGAGCAGTTGGTTTGGCACGTTCATGGGCACTGTGTTATGCAAGTTCTTTCACGCTGCTCAGGTGGGATCCCTTGCAGCCTCAGTGTTCAGTCTAGTGGCGATTTCCCTCGATCGCAGTTTTGCTATCCTATTTCCCATGAAAAAAGTAATGACTCGAAACGTTGTGCGTTTCGCGATCGCCATGACGTGGCTAGGTGCGCTGGCGTTAATGCTCCCACTTATGATAGCCACCAAGAATATACAGCTGGAGGGAGGGGATGGTATGATTTGCCAAGAGTATTGGCCACCGATGTCAACAAAAGTCTACATCACAGTTCTTTTCGTTACTGCTTACGTCATTCCACTAAAAATCATCGCTTTAGTCTACTGTCTGGCTGGGTTACGTCTTTACGGCAGAAGGCTCCCAGGACATCAAAATCCGACAGCACAGAAAAAAGTCCAAGTCTCGAGCAGACGCGCGACCACAATGTTGATAACAGTGGCTGTCATTTTCACTCTGTCGTGGCTTCCGTTTCAGGCTCTGGAGATGATAAAAGTTTACAAGGCTACCCTTTTCTACAAGATTCCCAAGAAAGTCCGTTTTGTCATCCCGTGGTTTGGTTATTGTAACAGCGCTATTAATCCAATTCTTTATATCATATTCTCAGGGAATTATCGCCGCGAGTTCTATCGAATTCTCTGCAGGGGGACAAGTCAGCAAAGCCGTTCTAAGGTGGCTGTTGTCGGTGGATGTACTTCGCGTCAAAGAGGACATTGTGCCAATGAAGAAACAAGCAACGTTGAGTGGGACACTCATCTTTAACCAGATTGTGCCAAGAGCCCTGAGCTGGTAAAAGCAAACAGAGAGGCCTACCGACAGAACGAAAGACAGACTGGCAGGCAGGCAAGCAGGGCACAGGGCATTTTATTTTTTATTTGGAAAACACTGTGAAAAGACTCGCCGTATCTATATAGTTCAACTTATGATCCAAATACACTCTGCAAAGTGACAAAAGTAATTCAACGAAGTCAAATATCCCATTATAACTTGTACACGGGCTATGAGTAGGTCAGTAAGGGGCTAAAGCAAGATATGTGATACACTTGGATATTACCTAAATCACATTGTAATAAACAGGGCATTGTGACAATGTTAGAGAATGTTTTATTTATCTTTGCAGTCAAGCATTGCAGTGATATTTGCTGTTCTTTATTCTACATCTCGAAGCCTAAAATTGTTTACCTATTGTCTTTTGTTAAACATAACAAAAAATAGTCGCTAATCTATAAAACTCTGTTTTTAATGCTTCATTGTTACATCTTACGCCAGTTCTCTCGATGTGGTCGTATGAAGACAAAGTGGGTAGCCCGCCTTACCCCGCCCCCAAGAGGCCCCCCTCATTCTCAGTGGCCGGTCACGATTAAAGATATATTGGTATCCGTTCAACACTGTTGAATCTCTTTAGATTCGATGACTGCGTGCGAGGGAGTGATTAGTGAGTGACGTACGATGAATCAGTTAGCTCGTAACAAACAATACCTGAACGCCTGGGAAATCCTTGAAAACAAGTGAGATTAAAAAGTATACGAAAAACTCGAGGTTTCTGAAATAAGATTGGGCTTACTAAATTTTGCCATGCTTTTTTTTTAACCTTTCATCGAGTTAGCTCCAATTGTTTAATGACTATGTTAGGCTCACACGCCTGGAACAGATGACTTACCAGTAAACCAGTGTTACGTGCATAGGCGACATCTTTCGACAATCTTTCGACATGCAGTGTAAACGACTGAAAGAATGAACACGACGGTAAACCAAGGTAAGTAAAATGCAAGACAAAAAGAGTTTTCTCTTTCTCTTCCCTTTACTTGCAACCAAAGTGAAAGCACTAGTAGTTGGTGTGCAATTAGGAGGAGTGTACAAGTTTTTCTACTCATCGACCACTGATATTCCAGTGTACGTGTATAAGAGATAGCTCCGGTTGAGCTGATCTATTATTATTACTGTACTGGCTGTGACGGGACCGCGGGTTAGAGACGCCATGGGCCATTGAAGTGTCTGTCGTGTGTGTTATGTGCAGAGCTCGTCAGAGCTTATTGAAAATAAAAAAAAAACTCTCAAACAAAATCAAACCTTTGAGGAAGGAGTCAAGTTAACTTGGCATGTGCATGAGCCCGCGATCCAATCGAAAACCAGCACTTGGTCAGCGGTCAACATAAAAAACACAAGATGTCAATGAGCTCTAAACTTGAGCCCACGCTGTGGTCACGTGATACTGGCCAGCGGACACCTTGTTTTGACAGGCGTCAATCGACCATAACATGGATGTCCAATATCAAAGAAGTACGCAATAAGCCAAGGCTGCATGTCTCTGTCAACTTATTAACTGGAGTGTGGCCGGCATCTTGCGCAACTCTGCCACCGCCGTTGTCATTGTCGTGCGTACGCGCCCACGAGCAACAACGCTAGCCATGATAGCAATGAGAAAATAAATTCATGTGTTTCCGTTTCTTTCCCATATGGCCTTCCTATATGAGTATGGTGCTCCTCTTGGAGCTTCGCTAACAAGCACACTTTTCAGCTACTAGCTTTATATAAGATGACGATTGTAAAATTACTGAGTTCTAACAACAGAAGATCAAGGTAAGTATCTTGATCTTTTCTTGGTTCTAATTGGCTAACTGAGAATAAGGCTAATCATGGTTTTCGACGCCATCTTGACGGGTAAGTAAAGCGGTCAGAAATTACAGTTTGCATAGGAATCCGATGGCAAATAACTTTTTCAAACTTTGAATTTTACACAATTTGTGAATAACAACGCTAAAATACTAGGTAGAAGATCAGATTGTATTCACGAATTTTGAAGGATGTAGCTTGGCTAGAAGTAACCTGGGTACCAGAGGTTTTTCTTGCGCGGTTTCCGGTGTCGGTCATGTCTCTATTGTGACCAGCGCGAAAAACGGGCAAGTCCATGTGATCACAGTGGGAAATGCTCGCTGTGATTGGGTTAAATGTAATGCAATAAAATTGATCAAAGTTCCACGAGAACGGTTGATGAAACCTGTACCAGAGGTTTTTTTACGGCTACGCCTCTCGCGCCGGAAGCCGAAGCTAAGCGAAGTATTTCCGTCCGCCGCGCGAGAAAAAAACCTCTGGTACCCAGGGTAGGCTAGAAGACGCTCAGTTAATTTTTCTAATTTTCCATACATTTGTCTGTAAATTTGGCTGGGTAGACGAGGTCCGCGGAAAAGAATTATAGACAAATGTATGCAAAATCACAAATTAACTGAGCGTCTGGTAGCTCAGCTGCGTCTTTCAAATTTTGGGTGAATACAATCTGCTTCCTAGTATGGTAAATTTGCGATTCATAAGTTGTGCAAAATCAATATTTTAAAAAAGTTATTTGCTATCGGATTCCCATACAAACACTAATTTCTGACCGCTTTGCCTACCCGGCAAGATGGCGTCCAAAACCGTGATTAGGCCTATTGTAACACGAGTGAAGCAAAATGTAATTTAAATAGTCTACTTTTCAAGTAAGTTATTTCTGCTGTTGTAAATAACTGATGACAAGGATTTTCTCGAACAACACAGAGTAAACTGAGTAAACAATTGTAAATTTCTAATATATACTACAAATAGGAAAAAAATACTTTTAAAAAGTTCGACTTTGTTGACTATTTTGTTTTGCTTTTTTATTCCAAATAACATGTACACGCGAAAACATGTGATCATCTGCTCAAATCAATAGTCAGCTTCTTTTACTATATACCACAGAAAACTGATCTGTGAACTAAGAGCCCTAAACTTTATCTAGTGTAGAGCTTCCTGCGGAAACTGTCAGTTACAAATTGAAACAGAAACTAAAAGTAAAGGTGCCATGGTCATATGTCAATATATATAGATATGTCAGCTAAAAAGACCTAGCATGAATTATATCGGAAAGTATCTAATTGTATGGAAGAGATGAATAGGAAAAGGTTTTACTGCATACCGAGGCGTAAGTGGTGGAAATAAGACTGGAGACGAAAAACAGAACAACAACAAAGTCACCTGCACAGAAACAGAGTTGATTGGCCCCGTACAAAATTAAAACACAATTTACAAGCAAACTGTCTGCTCTCATGTCTTATTCTTCTTTTGAAGCAAAAATTTGTCTGAATTTTTAATTTCATAAAATATACCCACCCTTTCTTGTAGGCAGGAACACTTTATCCGCCGCAGCTGAATTCGTGTATGGTGTTTTTTTGTACGGCGAGAGAATATGAATGCAACGGTAAATCCAGGTAAGTATGAATCTGATAAGAACAGCTTTATTTAAGCTTTCTCACTCTCCTCGTTATATTCGTAAAAAGACGAGAAATTACTTGAAGTGTTTTGAAATGAAATTCTATGTTGAATATATATCAGTCGAGGAAATTGTTTAGCTGCCATTTTATCGCCGGTAAGGAAATGCCAGCGGATTATTTTCCTAATTTATTTACAAAAGGGATTAAACCAAAGATTTTGGGAAAATCTCCTCTAAATGAAGGCTTCACAGGGTCGAAAGGGCTTTGGAAAGAGTTTATTCCTGTAGTTAACAGGTTGTTAACGGACTGTGAATGCTTTAATTGTCCTCAACATTCACCTGGGTTTAAATACTGGATAGACACTCTTTTTTTCGAAAAACATTCAAGTGTCGACATTTATCAGAACTAACGATGTTTTCTATGGAGTTGAACTGATCGTTGTGTGTTATGTGTTGTCTTAAAGCTTCTTAATATGTGGAGTTAGCCCGGCAGTGTAACTCAGGTTGACTGAAAACTTGTCAAAAGGGCTCTCAGTATTCTGTCCTGAAGCCTTTTGGGTTTATGTTTTGTTATTTTGAGTCATGACGGAACACACTGAGCTTTAAATCTAACTTTCTAAATTGGTTAATTTTAGTGATCGAAAGGTCAGTTCCCACCTAATGATATTCATAACAAAACACTTATAACAACTTTGACATTCAACGATTTTTATTCTTGATAATGATGTTGGATACATTAAAACGTTGAATAACGTTACTCCTTATATTTCTAGTTAATTTTACGCCAGTAAATATCAAAATTTATGATATCAACTTCCTATTGAAAACACCACAGGATATCTATCAAATCATTCATGGCGAATCTTATTAGCATGCAAGGTTAGCGAGTGTGACTCAGGTGAACTGAAAACCTGTCAAAAGGTCTCTCTATCAGTATTCTGTCCTGAAGCCTTCTGGGTTTATTTTTGTTATTTTGAGTCATGACGGAACACACTGAACTTCGAATGTAAATTCCTAAATTGGTTGATTTTATGCCAGTAAATATCTTAAACTTATGATATCTACTTTCTACTGAAAACACCACAGGATATCTACCAAATCATCAGGGCGAATGTTATTTGGCATGCAAGTATTTCCTCTTTATGCTCTCTTTATCCCAAATTTCATTGTTTGGAGCGTTTTGCTTTTTTTGTACCATGAGGAGATACATATCTTTAGCCGTATTTTCAGACTGGTTAAAGTACCCATTCATACAGGTGATTTTTAGTGCAATGTTTGTCGCAATTTCCCCTACGATTTTGTCTCGCCTAGAGTTCCAACTCAAATTCGTAAACCAGCTGCGATTTTTTAATAGGATTTGAATCCGGCTCGGTCGAAATTTCAACGTGATATCGCCTAGGTTTCCAAATAATTACGAGAATGACAAGGCCTGTATAGCTGCTCTGATACAAAATCTCTCTGCTCGTTTTATCACGTTTCATGGAGAACTTAACGAGGTCGCATTCAAATTGCGCTCAGCTGGTTGCACGAGCGCGACAAATATTACATTACTAATTATATGTATTCAAAATTTCAGCATGCTGATTGGCTGAGCACAGGTCAATTAAAACAAAAGATTAAAGATTGAAGCGCAGCCAGGATGAGACATAATCAAAATTACAATAAAAACGTTCGCTGGCTAAAAAATTTCAAAAATAAAAACTTGAGCTTTCGGTTGTCAGTCTACAGCCTTCGGGGGATAAAAAATGGAATGCAAAATGATAAAATATATGCGAGAATAGGCGAGATAAGAATAATAAGAAGAACAAAAACAAAGTAAAAATGTGCAAATTAGGTGACTATTGTTTAAAAAGAATACTATACTAGTTTGGAATCGGCTTAGAATTATTGTCAGCATGCTTAGTAGCAAAGGTTTGCCAAGCCTCCAAAGTTTTTCTAATGCGAACAGAACCTTTGTCGATGACACTAGAATTATAAAAATCTATGCGATGGTCGAATGACCACGCATTTTTCGCAATTTTTGAACCATTAGCACATGTTTTGACATTCCTGATATGTTCTTTCTTACTACTTTCAAAACACCGGCCAGTTTCGCTTACATAACACCAATCATAATCGGCACAGGGTATTTTGTAAATCCAGGAGCCATAATCGGGGACGGAGACCGTAAGTCTCGGGATTCGCGCGTACCTATGATATGGGACAATTTTTCTATTTTTAGAACAAATTGCGCCA